TGCTTTGCTAAGCTTGTTCTAAGTAGGTGCTTTAGACCACTGAGCCATCTCACCAGCCCCTAGCCTCTCTTTTCAATTTGATGTTTTTCCTTCTACTTTTTCTGATTTAGAGGGAAATCACATGTACCTGATACATTTTTCTCATCATTTTTCTCTAATTCTGTCTTAGGTACATGCTACAGACTGCACATATTCCTCAAATTTTATGTGTTAGGAATATAATGCCCAAGACAACAGTGTTAGGAGGTAGGGCCTGAAAGGAGGCATTAACATCCTGAGGGTTCTGCTGGAGGAAATAACACTACTACACAAAGAGATTTGGGGAGTGGATTAACCTTCACCCAGCTGTCTTTCACATGTGAGGACAAGGCAAGAGGGTCTTCAATCATCAAAGTGGGTTGGATGGTGTGCACCAATATTCCCAGCACTCAGAAGACTGAGGCAGGAAAATGGCCATGAGTTCAAGGCAAGCCTAGGCTACACAGTACAAGGCCAGCCTGAACTACAGAGACTCCATTTCAAAAATCAAAACAAGCTGAGGATACAGCTCAGTGGCTTAAGCACCTGCCTAGCAAGCACAAGGTCCTGAGTTCAATCCCTGGTCCCACCAAAAAAAAAAAAAAAAAAATCAAAACAAAACAAAGCACCCCTCATCAGATGACAGGACAAAGACAAGGTACTTCCCAGGCTTTTGTACTGTAAGCAGTAAATCTCTTTTGTTCTTAGTTTTTTTCTTTTTTTAGAGGCAAGATCTTGCTATGTGGTTCAAGCTGGCCTTTAACTATGTAGCCCAGCATGGCCTCAAACCTCTGATGATCCTTCTGCCTCAGCCTCCTGAGTGCTGGGAATACAGGTGTGCACCATCCCCGCCCTATGATTCCTTTAAATATTTTCTGAGTAATTGTGAAGACACAATGATTCCCCCCATACTATGTCCTTAAGATAAATTCCAAACTCCTTAGTGAGTCTTGTAAAGTATGGCAAATGACATCCTCCTCAGCTTCACCTTCTTTTATCCACCACACCCTAAGAAGGACCAACATTTTCAGTCCCTGCTGCTCCATCCACCTGGAACACTCATCCCTCTATCTACCAAACTCCTGTTGTTCTTGCAAACACAACCAAGACACCATTTCTGTGTCAAATCACTCTCCAAATCCCAAAATTGGGATCAGATCTACGTTCTATATGATCCTACTACATAAGCCACAGATTGTGCAACACTGAAAATTAACTTCTTGTGTAACTTCTCTTGTGTATAAACTCAAATGTGGCAGTAACTACGTCTTTCTAATTTATTATGGCTTTCCTAGAACAGAGCAAACTGTGGCTATTCAATAGACTTCGGTTAAATAAGTTCCATAGTAAGTATAGAGAGGAGACAAAACAAACTTCTTCCCTTAAAGCTACTAGGAAAAATAGACATTCACCTATATAATGCTATCATCTGGATCTTTAACACACCCAAAGGCCCACACTAAAATGTGGCCCCTAGATTGACACTATTGGGAGGAGGAGTCCAGTGGGAGGTTTTAGGCTGGGGGTGGTGGTGGCAGGAATTCTAGGGAAGCCCCTCAAACTTCCTCTCTTGCCTCCAGTGGCCATGAGGTGAGCAGCTCTGCCCTATTAAGTGTTTCCAATCATAATGCACTCCCACAGGCCCAAAACTGCAACAGAGCCACAATGGACCAAAACTGTGAGCCAAAATAAACCTTTTCTCTTTACAAATTGATTCATCTCACATATCTGTTATAGTAATGGGATGTTAAGAACAAAAGTAGAAATGTTATAAACACAGAAGTAACAATTCAGTCTCCTTAAAGTAAGGTGTCAAATGATTCTTTTGAAAATGCAAAGAAAGGGCTGGGGAGATAGCTCAGTGGCCTAAGTGCCTGCCCGGTGAGCACAAGGGCCTGCGTTTGTTCCCTGGTATCAAAAAAAAAAAAAAAAAAATTTTTTTTTTACTTAATGTAATTTTAGGGGCTGGTGAGATGGCTCAGTGGTCTAAAGCACCTACTGAGAACAAGCTTAGCAAAA